CATGAGACAAAGTATATGTGAACTGCTGTATGAAAAGTGAATTTACTCTGTAAATCTTCACCCTAATCCTAATAAAAAAAAAAAAAAAAGGAAAAAAAAAAAATAACTGCATGATAATGCAAGATGATGGGCGAAACATTTAAAATTAGGTTTCCATATAAAAGATGTCAGATAACTCAAAATTAGGCAATTACATTTGGTTTTGTGGATGTCTCCCTCTGTAGCTGCTCTGCTATTTTGGGGGAACTGACCCCACTTCAGCTTCAGCTTTTAGGCTAGACTCTAAGTACTATAAATCAAGCAGGGTAATTCATCCCTCTTGCCACAGTGATGCATTCAAGTCATCCAGACCTATGCTATCAACAAAGGTGATCTACATGGAAAGCTTAGGACACTTCCTTGGAAATTTGGGAAACAGAGTTATCCAATATTCTGGTATGATTTGGAAATGTGAAACCTGGAACTAATATAGCCTCCACAGTTGAAAACAAAGCTGGCTTACAGGTAAAGAACTGCAGAGAAGCCAAGCCCACCTGATCAAGCTTTACCTGAAGCGCAATCTACAGTTGGACTCTTCTGTTTCACAACCAAAAAAAAAAAAAAACTCACTGCCATCGAGTTGATTCAACTCGAAGCAACCCCTCCTTGGATTTCTGAGGCAGTATCTCTATGGAAGTAGATTGCCCATGTTAATGACATCTTTAGTGTTTAAGCCAATTTGATTTGTTATTTCAAAAAATCGATACAAAGCATAAGCCCCAACCAATTATATACAACAGAATATATATACATATAATTATACATTCAAGTTACTGCATAAACTAGCAATATATCATTTCTGATGTGTTATGGTAGCCTCCAAATATTCACTAAAATTAACTTTATAATGCTATACATGAACAAGACAATGCTATGAAATAACTGCAATGATTTTTTTTAACTTTTTTTTTTTTCCTTAAATTGTGCTTTGGGTGCAAATTTACAAAGCAGATTTGTTTGACATTCAACAGTTCATGCACATTTGATTTCACGGCCCTGAACACATTTGATTTCATGGCCCCGACTACCATCCTCAACCACAAAAAACTCTCCTCCCTTCTCCTCCCTGTGACTAGCCCCTCTCTGTGCACTTCTTATCTATGCATTCTGTTTGTCCAGCTTTCCCTCTATGTGAATGCTGCCCCTCTGATATTTCATGTCTGGCTGATCTAAGGGGTGCATCTCCCTAGAGTAGGTGGGTGAATCACTCTGGGGTAGGTGCTCTGCATGTAGATTTTTCTACTGCATTGGGCTGAGAGCCAATCCACAGAAGTGAGTAACAATCACAACAGAATGTGCACATCAGTGCCTTCACAGGCACCCTTGTTGACAGCACACTTGAGTTCTAATGAGTCCAACACTACTCAAAGAGTTTGTGGGATTCCTATTTTGAAAGTGCCTCGTGGCAAATTAGTCCCATTATTTTACCATCTTCCTCTACCATATATATCTACCATGGTAGAGGAGACAGAGATTCAAACAGTTACTAAAAGCCATTAAAATACAATTTTAATCTTATTTCAGAAGATTCAGTTTAAACAGAGAAATTAAAATAAGCAAAAAAAAAAGAGTTGAAAGTCAAAATAACCACTGAAAAATTGAGGAACATTTGAAAATTCCCAAAGTACCATTTTACTTATTGAAAACAGCCCAAAAATCTTTCAAAAATTAGATACTTTTTAAAAAAAGGCTTGCAGACTCTTTATTTTCATGCTAAGTTTCAAGCTGGAACGTTATTTCATGAATAAGCTATAAGGGAAATAGGATCAGCCTGTTCCCAGCCCAGAAGACTGCTAGAAATGCAACCTCAGTAGTACCCAAGGAAAGGAAGTGGCTTCTCCTAGGCAGCCTTCACTGTGCCAGTCCCTCTAGGCCCTAGCCCTCCCCAGACATGGACCATTATAGAATATGGTGGATTACCCGAGGTTCAATGCTAAGGTAAAGTAAGTGCTTTGTGGGAAAGGAATAGGTGTCACAATCCCCCTCCCCTGCAGTAGCCAGTTGGGCTAATTCTAGGCCACTCTCCATGGTTAGAGTAGTTCAAGGTCAACAACAGATGCAGTGACATCTATGGCTCCCACATTCAGCCATAGGAACATGCTCGCATGGGACCATCTGTGATTAATCTGATTAATCTTTTAGGCATCTTCCAGAATGTGCTTTGCTGGTATCCTAGAAAATTAATTTTTCCTATTTCTAAATTCCAAATGTTTGAAAGATATCCAAACTTAAAAAAAAAAAAAAGTTGCTGTCGAGTCAATTCACTCATGATGCCCCCATGTGTCAGAATAAAATTGTGTTCCATAGGGTTTCCAGTGGCTGATTTTTTTGGAAATCTGAAGTAGATTGCCAGGCCTTTCTTTCAAGGCATTTTGGGTGGACTTGAACCTCCAACCTTTCCATTAGCAGCCAAGGGCTTTAACCTTTTGCACTGACCTGAGATGCTAATCCAAACTAGAAAATGCCTAATTGGTGGCTTAACCCTATTAAAAGGATCACTGTCTTTCTCAACACAAGAACAAAGTCTACTGATTAATTCAAACAAAGCAAGAAGATCAGAAGCAAAATATAGACCTCTTTTCTGTGTCTGTGTTCCGATTAGAGCCTGAGTCTGCCTCCAGCTTAAATATGCACATTGCTCCTGCTCAACACACACATCCGCATGACGTTTAGGTGCAAGGACGAGGAGATTAGCTTTTAATCAAATGCAGAAATTTTTCTTTGCGGCCTGGCACAGATGCTCTTGTTCTAACTTAGTTTCCATCACATCTACCCCTCCCTGGTTTTGTTTATTTTATTTGCTTCTTTATAGCCTAAATAGGATATCAAAAGTGTGTCTCAAAATTATTCTTAGGAACAAAAATGCAATCACCAGCAAAATTTATCATTTTGTCAGCAATCTTTGGTATCACACCCCTAAAGAGGATAGAAGTTAGTAATTAGACAAACATTCCATGATCTCAACCACACTAATCATGGAGGAACAGCTGATGAACACTGACTTGCATAGAAGGAAAAGTGGGAATAAAATACATAGGCCTTTGAGTTTCATGCTGGTGGCCCTGGTTGATGGTTCTCACCTGAGAAAATCCACATTTGTGTCCTATAGGTGCTGTACCCACTGCCATTGAGTCAGTTCCAACTCATAGCAACCCAACAGGACAGAGTAGAACTTTCCCATAAGGTTTCTAAGGCTGTAAGTCTCTATGGAAGCAGACTGTCACATCTATCTCCTGCGTAACAGCTGGTGGGGTCAAACTGCCAACCTTGCAGTTAGCAGCCAAGCACTTTAACCACTGCATCAGCAGGGCTGCAGTGTTAGAGTCCACCCAAACCAAACCCACTGCCACTGAGTCAATTCCTTCTCATAGTGACCCTACAAAGCAGAGTAGACCTGTCACAGAGGGTTTCCAAGGCTGTAAATCTTTACAGGAGCAGACTGCCTCATCTCTCTCCCATGGAGCAGCTGCTGGGCTTGAACTGCCAACCTTCTGGTTAGCAGCCCAATGCTTTAACCATAATACTACCAGAGTTCCTTAGAGTCTACCAGGGGACTAATTAGTGCTGCCCAACAGGACCACTGGATTATAAGAGCAAGTGCTGATCAGGGCATCAGGAGGAGGGAATTCTCATCCCAGCTTTGCTACCAACCTGAGGTTTGATAAATAAGCCATTAAGATTTTCTGGGCCCTGATTTGCTCCTGATATATAAAATTGAAGCACTGCATGAATGAGATCCTGGGTTCCTTCCAGAAACAAAATGATGATTTGTCCAAAGGGCTGCTACCCATGAAATATGTACTGACACTAATACACATAGATAGAAAGGAAAAGTTCTACTCCTAAAGTTCTTGCTCACACGACTTGCATGTATTCAGGGACACACCTGTAAGTATACACTGAACCACTCATGCCATTTCTCAGACTCACCTGTTAGAACCTTGCAGAGCTGCCCAGAGGCCTGCATCTCAGCAGAGGGGCTAGGTTCTGAGGACCATTTGCGCCTGACCAAATGCTCTCGTCCACTGAAAGAGCCCCAGGAATCATTGAGTGGCTGGATTAGCACCTGCTCCTGCCCAAGCTGAACGAGGCCAACCTGTCAGAAAGGAGGACAGTGGGATATCAGTCATCCTCATTCACACATAACCATAGGCCCAGCAGTCTCAGGGAACATAGTCACTTCAAGGGTCATATTTCCATGTCTTAGCTTTCTTCCTTGCAGTTTGCTATTTTGCCTGAGTTTCTATGTGACCTAGACACCTCCCACTGAGTAGCTGTGGTGGGGAGGGGTGTGGGGACTGTATGCAGGGGTGAGGGTGAGGGTGCAGAGATTACATGTAGCCACATACATTTTCCAAATTTGCTTTCAAAGAAGATGTATTAATTTATAATAATAAACTTTATTTTCAAAAGTTTTTAAAAATCATCCCTGAAAAATCCACTTGAGAAGGCAACCCTAAAATTGTTGACAGTGACAATTATATCCTTAATGGGAAAAAGTATCTTATCTGGGGGGATATTTAGAATTAAATATTAAAAAAAAAAAAAAAAAAACTCATTGTTGTTGAGTCAATTTGACTCGTAGCGACCCCTCCTTGGGTTTCTGAGGCATTATCTCTATGGAAGTAGATTGCCCAATCTTCCTTCAGAGGAGTGGCTGGTGGTTTAAACCACAAGTCTTCTGGTTAGTAGTCAAATGCCTTAGGCACTATGCCACTAGAGCTCCATAAGTCAGACCTGTAATATCAGTAGTTCTGTGATAGGAAATATGTACATTTTTTAGAACTTGTAATGTTTAGAAGAATTTGGCAGGATATTTAATGGATTAGATTTGTTATTGTACAATCAAATATTATTAGATTTATAAGCAGTATTAGAATATTGAGAACTTAAGATTTCCCATGTTTATAAGACTATTATTAGGTTTATGAGAATTACTTAAATACTTGAGAAGGGTTTGTTTTTTAATCAGATAGCCAAGAACTTAAAAATAAAATTAAACATGTTAAATTTCAAATTGTGGTTTTTAATGTTTGTCAGTTGTCAATGGCCAAATTTGTAAATGAGGCCAAATATGATTCAAAGCCACAACTACAAAAACTTGCTAGATTTATAAATAGAATAAGATATATAAATTGAACGAAAAACTTAAGAACTAGGATTTTTATCATTAAAAACAAAACCACCAAACCAGTTACCATGGAGTCTATTCCGACTCAGGCTAACTCCCATGTGTTGGAGAGTAGAACTTCTCTATAGAGTTTTCAAGGCTGTTGACATTTTGGAAGCAGACCACCAGGACTTTCTTCTGAGGTACCTCTGGATGGGTTCCAACAAACAACCTTTTAACCGATAATGGAGCACCTAAAAGTTTGCACCACCTACAGCTTTAATAAAGTGAATGCTAATTCTAAAAATAACTTTTCCTCTCTCTTGGGATCAAGTCTGACAGCATTAAAATGGTTTGCCTTCTTTCCAGGGAATACCTGAGCTAAGTAGAGTCAATAAAACAAGATAAACCTTACACAAGAAGTCCCCTAGGACCTTCTAAAAATTAAATGTTTATGTGCTTCCAAAGACTTCTCCAAAAGAGTCAAAAGAGAACCTACAGATTGGGAAAAAATATTTGG